AGCAAAAGCAATTAAACTTATATACTACCCTATAGTGGTTTACAGCCTCCTCTAAGCAGTTTACAGAGTCAGCATCCTTCCCCCAACAATCTGGGTCCTTATTTTACTGGCCTCGAAAGAATGGAAGGATGGGTCAACCCAGAGCACCATCAGGATCAAACTCCAGGTTGTGGGCAGTTAGCCTGCATTACTGCATCCTGACCACTGCCCCATCAGGGCTCCTTAATATGTGTCTGTCTGATTTATAACTCACTGAGAGTTGGTTTAACTGTGGCAGGATGTAAATGCAACGAATAAATACCTAAAATGCAACTAGAACTTACTTATACATTCACCAGCAGTCTACCAATAAATATTTGGAAAAGGGAACAAGAGTTGGTCCCCCCGCCCTTTATCCTTCATTCATGGAAGGATCTGGCAGGCTGCTACTGAATTAAGGGGCAAGGGAGAATCAAATTTCCCTTTATTTACTCCAAATACTGAGACAAAGACTGAGATGCCTGCTTTTTTCTCTCTTTCCAAGGTTTGAAATCAATTTTACGGCTGGCCAAGATATCCCTTTGCATATTAACCTTCACATGAAACTGGAGAGCCGTAGTACGCAATAGTTTTTTGAATGGCAACTGGGGAAGCGAGGAAATTGACCTTTAACCCTTTCCAGCCTGGGCAGTACTTTAAAGTGAGCTGGCTTTGATTCCAGCAGGGAGGGGTGTCCACAGGGAGGAGGAGGTCAAAAAAGCCAATATGCAATCGATATATTGGCCATATTTTACCTGGCTTGTGCGGATACCCCTGGATGCCAGCAAAGAGCTTGGCTGGTTGCCAGCAAGAAAGCAGGGAGGGCAAGCAGTGGGAAGTGGAGAGAAGATCCAGCTGATGCCCTCCACTTGTGTTAAGACTCCATTTTCCATACAACTTTGGAATCTGAACGCTTGGGAAGGCTGGTGGGATGTCCCCTCTGTTGGAGATGAGTGGAATTGCCTCACCAGAATGCCATTCAGAATCATGTTTTTAGGTCTCTGATGGAAAATTATTGCCTGTGTGTGTGTGTGTAGAAAACAGCATAGCACTTGTGATCCCCCCCATTAAAGTCCCCATATAGGAGGTGCCTTTTGATTTTGATGCAAGCTATGGATGGTGTAGACTGCGTACCCTTCCGCATGGAGGGCCGTAGGTGATCCAGATGTGCTACTACAGCCATGTTAACATCCTCCTTCTCTCCCCAGCTCTCAATCCACTGTGACAACCGTGAGTTCAAGTTTTATGCCAACGACCAGCCCTTCTTCAACTACACCCTTCGTTATGTCCCTATCAAAAACATCAGCACCCTAGAGATCGATGGAGACGTGACGCTTTCCTACATTAAATACTAAGCAATGGGGGGGGGGGATCAGTAGCAGCTCTCTCTCTGCCAGTACACTTACAATCGTGCTGAATTTGAGTGGTCTATAAGTTCCAATCAATCAATCAATCACTCAAGAATTGAGAATATTAAGCAACATTTTCAATAAAGCATCTTGATCAAGGAATGCAAAAGAGGCTTACTTTTCTGCCTTCTGAATTTGATCTGTAGAAGATACAAAGCATTTTTAAAATAAAGTTGGTACCTTTCAGTTATGTGTTAAGTGAGTTTTTCCCCAGGACTGTTCTTGCCTCTGTTGTTAAGTGAATCACTTCAGTTGATAAGTTAGCAACCTCATTGTTAAGTGAATCTGGCTCTGAAGAGCACAAAAGGGGATCACATAACCCCAGGACACTGCAGTGGTCATAAATATGAACCAGTTGCGAAGCACCTGAATTTTGATCACATGATCAGTGCTGTTGCAAGTTTGAACAGTCACTAAATGAACTGTTGTAAGTCAAGGACTACCTGTAATACATTTTAAAGAAATGCAAAAAGACCTGAAATCCGTTCTTTTCCTTCTGTTTATCCAGGGTTATTTGATTTTGCCACATCTCTGCGCAATTTTTGTTATTTTCTCCTATTCTGGTTTCATGCTGATATAAATGACAGCTCCCGCGTGGACTCCTGGTGAATGTGAATGAATCTGAGCGTGATTCTTGCCTCGTTCACTAGAGGATCAAGAGAGGGAAGGGAACATCTAATCAGGCATGCAGGTTCTGGTGTAGCAAAAGTTTGCACCTCACTTTTTAACATCATGCCACGCTGTGCACGCCTGTTAACAATTCCATGTTTTCTCCTAAAATCCCCGGAAACTTTTCTTTTTCTTAGTCTCCCAGTTCAGCAGACAACCCATCATGGTTTAAGGAGTCTGAGAAATAGAGCAAGACTTTTCAGTTTCTACTTCCTTGGCACCAGGCTAGGAGTCATGCCCTTGTTAGAGTCTGATTCTGAGAGGAAGATTGAGCAGCTGACAGGGAGTGAGAGTGTGGCTCTGGTGGCTGTGGAAGAAACGAGGGAAGGGCACAGTCCGGCTGGGCATTCAGAGGAAGACCCAGGCCCATCCCCTCCTCTTCATCCTAGGGCATACAGGAAGGAACAGAGAAGGGTTACGAGAGAAAATGGCCCTGATCCCTTTCATTAGTTACAGCTGGGAGAACAGGATATAAGAGGAGTTCCTTGCTGGAAGCAATCTTGGTTGAGCCTTAACTGGGTTTTGGCATCCTCCCAACTGTGGGTGCTGTGTTATCCTTTGAAAGTCTGCAATTTATCATCCTTGCCTGCCGTGTTAATTACTTAGGTGTGGCTTGTGTTGGTTTCTTTATTTCTAATTATCTTTACTTTGGGTTTGGACTGCATTTCTGCCCTTTGTAGATTGTTTTTTGAAGAGTTTATTATCCAGCCAAGGTTAATTGGACATTGGGGCCAAGTTGGAGGCATTAAAGGGAATTTATTCTACTTTTGTGACTTTGTTACTTTTTGTTTCATGCCCCGGGTCATCACACTAGGGTTCTGGGTTCATGCTGGCTGAACAGAGATGCTGGAGAGCAACAATCTGCTTACTGGGGTTTTGCTGCCCTCTAATGGTTTGTTATTTCTCTACTTTTTTAATCAATTTATAGAGGGGGTCTAGGACAACTCACCACGGGCAATTCCTAACACATTGTAAATATTATTTGCCACTGTTTCTTTGACATTATTTCCATTGACAAAAATGGTCTTGCTTCTAGTCTGTCTGCAGCTTTTTGACCAGTTGGTTTGAATCTCTCTAGAGAGGTGATGGTCATCCAGGCCTCACCATTGTTTCACATCATACAAGTAAGCAGCATAGCTGGCTAAGATACCGCCAGCTTGCCCCAGGAATGGTCTCAAACCCAGATCTCTTCACATTAGCTGTTTTGCATCAGTACTTAATGGACCCATGACTTCTAGTGGCTTTCAATGAAATGAAGGAATTAACCCAATAATGGAAAGGAGCCTTTTCTGCAATTAGGAACACGGAAATCGATCTCAGAGCACAGGACAGAAGTGGTATTCAGCAGGTTATGATCATTTCTGGAGAACCAGTAGCAGAAATTTTGAGTATGGCAAGCATTTGAGATCATCTTCATTGTCGATGATGAGGAATACCAGGTCGGCATGCACAACAGAGGCTCCTTGGGAGGGTGGGAATGCACCTGCATTTCACATTCAGACTTCATTTGTCTGGAAGGCACCACAACTGGAATACTGCCTTTCCCATGTGATAACTTCCAGACAGGTTGAAATTGAGGTAGAAATAGTCCTTGTTTAGCAACCACAGGTAGAACTGGCAATGGCAACTAACTCAGACAATGAAGCAGTGGTTAAGTAAAACCACAACTCAGCTTATATCTGCCTTCAGCTTTCCAATATAGACCTGCAAATATTGTGAAAGTGAGGAACGGTCACAATGGTCCTTATGAAAGGACTATTTTTAAGTGCAAATAATTGCCAAAGGAAGACTAGCTGTAACTGAACAGAGAAACTTTTGGTCCATGCCAAACGTTTTGTAATGGTATGTGGGAAAGACCTTGGGAAAGTGAGCCGAGAAGTCTGAGGGGCAGGGTGGGAAACCACACAGGAATCACAACCAGAAGAACGAATTCTTCTTTATGGTACAGCCACGTTGACAACATCTCTCAAGTATGAAAGTCTCTTCTGAGCCTCTTATCCTATCCACCACCAGCTGCTTGTCAATATGACCACCTCCTATGGATAACTTGCTGAGCAAACAAGCCATTTGAACATGTCTTAATTTTGAGACCAAATATTACTTGCCTAATTAGAGATGCTCGTAACCACTACAGAATCAGGAAAAGTACCCAAGACAAGATCTCAGAAACTGCACTCTTCACCTTTGGCAGTCCAAAACCTACTGAACTGTAACTGCCTTTACCACCAGCTATCAGGCCCAAGAGCCACATGATTAGTTGTGGGGGGAAGCATTAAATGTAACCTGGATTTTTTTTACTATGTCAAGAACAAAATCTTTGGAGGTCTAATTGGATCTAATCCTTCTACGGATTCCTTTCCATTAGCATGATAAATCCTCCCTTCAAACTAGTGCCATCTACCAGACGGGAGTCATAAAAGTCAAGAAGATGCCTTCAACTAGATCAAAGCCTCACCCTTTCCACATGAAGCATCCCCAAAAGGGGTGAGGCTTTCAATGGCTCCAGCTTCAATCCATATTCTGTTGGGGTTGAGGGGGTGTCTACAGTTTCCTCAACATCACCAAAACTGTTCTGCAGAAACAAAAATGTGAAGATCCCTAAATTCCAAGGACAATCAAATCCCACTGGCACTGGAAGCAGAAAAACACGTTTTCTGAGTCAAAATCATTTCGTAGCCTGGCAGGGGAAAAAAACCCACAACTAAACTACCCTTTTAATAATCTACTGCTCTTTCCACACCAGACTAAAAGAGTGCCTTGCAGCAGCTTCTGCCTTATGTCTCTTTGCAAGACTGGCCCACTTGACTCTGCCCCACCCTGCACTTCCCTTTCTCCCACCCTGATTGTCTCTGAAGTTTCCTTGATTGCCCAACCTTTGGTTTTTCTCCACCAGGATCCGGCAGAGCCGGTGAAGCTGCCTTTGGGGCATCAGGTCACAGCTGCAGGGTTGGTGTCACCCTCCTGGGGAGGCCTGACTCAGCGTGCCCCGATGGGTGTGGGCAGGGCTGCTGCAGGGAAAATGCTCAGGGTAGTCCCGGACATCTATAAAGAGGCTGGGCTGTGCTGCCAGCCTGCCTCCAGCCCAGCGCCGTAGAGATGGCCGTAGAATTTGAGACTTTCGTAAGTAGCACAACCGTTATGATTAATGGGGCGGTTCCAGCTTGTATGTTGCTTTGAAGGGGAGGCAGGGAGAGGGGAAGGGGATGTCACTATTAATGGCTGCGTTCAGAGATGTCTGCAGGGGATGGTCCAAAAAGTCAAAATGACGGCTTCAATGGTACAATTGAAAAATAGTGCAATGCATATTTAAAAAAAAAAACAGGCATGGCTTTTCCTTTCAGATTTGCAGTCGCCATCTTGACTTCACAGACCATTCTCTGCTTGGAAGATGCAGAGGCCCTGCGCAGGGTTGACATGATCTGACTGCACAATGGATTACAAAAGCGCCACCAACTCAATAAACCAGGACGGCACTAATCTCACCTTAGCATAAACCTGAAGCCAGTCTGAGAATCAGACCCAGGCAGCTTCTCCTCCACAGAGCTTGGATTTCAAGCCCAGCATCCCCATCTTGTATTTGCTAGAAAGGATGGAGTGTGTATTTTTTTTTTCATAAATGTTCACATTTCCAAACATTTCTTAGCCCAACCTGGACAGACAGACATTGCCAACTGTGTTCCCACATTGACCCCCATCTGGAGCAAAGAAGAACCATCTGCTACACTGTGCAATGCTGGTGGGTGGTTGTACCTGGCCGGAAGGGACAGCACGCTTTAAAAACAGATGCGCAGAACCAGACCAAACCCAGGATTTGAGGAGCTAGAAGCAGAATTGCAGATGGCACCATCTCTCATCTTCTGACCAAAGGTGGGCTGCCAAAGGTCCTCCAGGTCCGAAATCCTATCCATTCAGGGACAGGCTGCCAAGTGGCAGCTTTGCAAGACCTCATGGCCTGATTTTGCTTTGGAGGACAGAGGTTTGGGTTGAATTCTGCATTCTTCTGCCCATGCGGGGGGGGGGGGGGGGGCATCACGGTTTGCCTCCTCTCCTTCCATCTGGCCAGGCCTACCCGGCCTGCCCTCTTTTCCACCAAAAGGCACACGGGTGCAAGGCAGCTGCCAACCGGTTCAGAGACAGGTTTGGCCTCTTGGGTGTGAGTGGAAGTTCCGCCAGCCGCAGCTGCATTCCAGGACTACGTTTCCCAGCATTCCTTCAGCAGCAGGCCGGGCGGTTGGAAGCTCCCAAAGAAAGTCGCCCTATAAGAGGGAGACGGGCGGCATATTTTAAAGGACATGTAAATAAATACATTTTGAAGCAGTTTCTCACCCTTGCTGCCTGGGAGTTGAAGTCCACGCACCCTTTACATTGAAGAAACTCTGCTTTAAAACTTTGGCCGGTTGGTGAGCCAAACAACTATAAAAAAAAGAGCTGGGAATTTATTTCGGATTCCATTTCTGAGAGGCGACCAAACCCCTTTTTCCCTCAGACTTGAAAAAAAGTGCGCGCTGAATAACTTCACAACGGATATTTATACCGCTTGTCAGTGACGTCAGCGGTCGGTGATTGGCCAAATACTTGTTTAGCTCAGTTTTGGCGGGCTTTCTCTATCTCCGGGCAGATTTTCCTCGCTCCCTGTCTGGTAACCCCAGCAGCCTCTTGTGGTTCCTCAGTCATAGATGTGATTGTGCCCACCACAACCACACCTATGTTCACACCCATCCATCCCTACCTGTCATGTACCAAACACCTGGTACGCTGTTTAACACGCTCATGTTCACTTTTCTAAAAAGAAGGGAGCTAAAAGAATGATTTGGGGGGTTCGATTCATCAGAGGTTTTAGGGTAATTGGATTGAAAAGATGGCAGCTTCTCTTTAGGATCTCAGCTGTTGCTCAGTAAACACCGTGAAAGATCTTAACAGATAACAGATAATCAGAGTTGGAAGGAACCTTATAGGTCATCTATTCCAACCCCACGCCCAAGCGGGAGACCCTACACCATTTCTGACAGATGGCAGTCCAATCTCTTCTAGAAAGTCTCAAGTGATGGTGCTCCCACAACTTCTGAAGGCAACTTCTGTTCCATGGGTTGATTGTTCTCACTGTCAGAAAGTTTCTCCTTATTTCCAGGTTGAATCTCTCCTTGTTCAGTTTCCATCCATTCTTCCTTGCCTGGCCTTCGGGTGCTTTGGAAAATAGCTTGACCCCCTTCCTCTCTGTGGCAGCCCCTCTTGAAATTTGGAAAGAGAGGAATCAACAGGCATCTCATTTGAAAGAGATCTGACTCACTTTTTTTTAACACCACCTCTGGAGGTGGATGATGCTGTTTAAGCATAAATGTTCTGCAAGAGTGGAAATGCCAGAAACAGAGGCTTAAGAGAAATTTTCTTGGTAGATAAGAGATTTCAGTGCAAGGCCAGAAATCCCCAGAAGTCGTCTGACAGGTTGGAAGCCACCATGAAGTCAGTCATCGCAAAATCAACTGGAAAACTCCAGGATGGCATGAACAAAGGGCAGGGACTTGAATATAAATTTAAATTCAATCCAGAACTTTATTTATGCATTTCTTTGCTCAAGCTCAGACGCCGCTTCACTTATGACCTGTTTGCATTTCCAGGTGCAGTCAAAAGGGCAGAAGAACCAACGTAACAAAATAATGCAATTCTCCCATCATACCTACCATATCATTTCATAAATCAGTAAAATATAATCCATTAGAAGTAGATGTTCGCCACTATTACAGAGGTAGATCTTGCTTAGTGACTGCTTTACTTTGTGATAGTTCAAAAGTGACAGTGACACTGAAGATATAACTTTACAATGAGTCTTTCCACTTATGGCCATTACAGCCTCTTATGGTCATATATTTGCCATTTGTACTCATTACAGCTGGCTTCCAACAAGCAGAGTCAATGGAAAAGCTGGCTGTACAATTGCAAATCGCGGTCATGTATTACTTTGTGACCATGTCATTTAGCAACAGGGTTGCCACTCCCACTGGTGGTTAAGTGAGGACTAGCTGTATATGATTGCAAGGGGGCACCCATCTTAATGGTTTTTCTAAACCCCGTTAGGGTTGGCAGGATTCTCTAATGAAGTGGGCTAAATGGAGGTTTAGAGTCACTGTAATAAACTGTAACAGAGTTTATTTGAAACTTGCAGATCATATGGACTGAGCCATTTTAGTTAACCTGAGTATAAGAGTTTTTAGCAGTTTATCTCATGGACCCTGAGAAACAAGACACCCTCTTTTGTTTCTTAGGGTCCATGAAGCTTCTGTAGATTCTCCCCAGCCATTTGACGCCATATTTTCAAGCCCCAGACCAATCATTTTGGCCTAAAGAGGTGTTTGAACTGCTAGGCAAACACACTTTTTTGTCCTCAAGAGGACTTGAAACATTGTGCACTATTAGTCACTGTGATGTTTCTCCCCTGCAGCGCATGCCTTACAATCGGGCTGTCCCCTGGGGCTTGGATGCGGACTCCTGGGTGATGCTGGAAGGCCTCATTCTGAAGCAGAGCAAAGGGTAACTCAGCACCAATCCCTTTCATTGGACCAACAACTACTTGGGTTGAGTTCATACCTCACATTTAATAGGCTACTGAATTCCCATGTTTGGGGCAAGGAATGGTTAATTTGCCACAGGGTTGAGTTGACTCTAAGCACCCTTCAAGCTAATCAAAGTGAAAACAAGCTATGTAAATGGTGTTGCTTGGTCTTTTGACGGATCCGGTTAAGGGCAGCCAACTCTTAGGCGTTAGAGAAGCAGGGAATTTTTGTGCCCCTTTGAAAAGTTCCGTGCTCAATCCATCCGCCCTGCAACTGACAAGGCCATTTATAAAAATATGTTGCCTTCCAGATGTTAGAACAGGGTTTCTCAGATGTGCTACTGTAAGATAGGTGGGCCAACTTCCAGAATTCCCCAGCCAGGAACTCAGCTGACTAGCTTGGCATAGTTGTATTGGGTTGACCTAAACAGAACGTTGCAGTTTGTGCACCTTTCCTATCCCAGTGAGCGGTGGTCGGTGAGAACATCAACGCGAGATGTCACGGAAGCCAGTTGGTTCTCCTAGAAAAAGGTCAAAGAAGGGCAAAGGGAAACAAGGCAAAAAAATAATAATAACCAAGCAGACTCCAATGTTCTTCTCCAGATTTCATGTGGAATTTGCTTACGGGCAGTTCAATGGGGCCAATATCCCTCTGAAATTCAAGCTCCGCTTCGAGAGAACCCCCGAGTCTTCCAACAGCCCCGTGCTGACTCTCAACAGCTTTGTAAATCAACAGTGGGGGAAAGAGATCCGGACGAAAACTCACTTCCAGCAAGGCCAAAGGTTCAAGCTTTCTTTCATCGTCACCAGCAAAAGTTACAAGGTGATGGGATGAACGGGTTGTCCTTGATGGCAGGCTGGGCCTGCCACTTGTCAGGGTTGCACAAGAGGTATAGATTGTGGGTGGGTGGGTGTCTAGCTATATCGGAAGTCAAAATCATTTGGGATTTTAGCATAAACATTTAGGGTGGGGATAATGAAGTCAACAAAATTTGGGATTCGGTAGAACTTTCTCCAATATGGTGTTCATCCAGATGTTCTGGCTAATCTGGCTGTCAAATATGAGCCCATCTGGAGGTGTCATAAAATTCTCATTTAACTTCCAGCTCACCTTGGCTAGCAGACAGCTGTGTCCCCACAACTGGGCCAGGTGTTGTAAACTCCCCTCAGTTCCCCGAAGAGCACCTGTTCTATTCTTCACCCAATCTAATGAGTAAAGGCCAGGACTACTTCCTTTTAAAAAAATGTAATTTATAGAGCTCTGTTCTCCAGCTTATGTCCTCTCCAAGGGATTGCGAGGACAGATACAAAGGGCTTTCTTGATGGCCAACAGCTATAAGCTGCGTGAAAGCTCTGGGTGGAAACATCTCCTATACCTTTTAATTCCGGGCATGGTTGAATTTGTGAACCAGAATTACAATGCTATCTTACAAGTCTGTTTCTTAGCAAGAGTTTCCAGTTGGCCTTACACAGGCCCACAACATGCTGGTTTCCCATCCAAATTTTAACCAGGCCTGACCTTGCTTAACTATAAAGCCCAGAAGAGATTATAAAACCTTTTCAACAAGCTTGGGGGAATCACACTCCTGATACAATTGGAGATTTATTTGCTTTGCTTCCCCCTTTCCCCCCACCCAGATAATGGAGAACAACGTTTTGCTTTCTGAATTTGACCATCGCCTTTCACCCACGGCCGTCCGTTTCCTGGGCATGGATGGGGACATCAAGCTGGAGAAAGTCGTCTTCAGCTGGGAGAAGAACAGTGAAACCAGCAATCTTAGGTTTGATGAAAGCTAGCACGAGAATCGTGCAAATCAAATTGTGCATTCAGGCTACTTTATAAGTTGATTTTGCGGCCAACATCAAAGACTATCCTGCTGACATTCTGAGGTGGCATCTTGGCGAATTAAAGGGAACAGAGTTATTGTCACTGTTTTTATTTGGAACTGCAAAAAATAAATGTTATTTGGATTTTCTGGATCTACTGCAGCCTTCGGGAGTGTCCAAAGGGTGTGGTCAGCAAAAGTCAAGGCGACACAGACATAAAACACAGGCACAGCTTCAATTTTCCATCACTTTATCTTGTTCTTCCTCATCCACACCCAGGGCCACCAAATTAAAATGTTGGTCTCCTATCAAATCAATCATAAAAACACTACTACTTTTACATGTATGAACACAACTTCTCTGGCTTTCTGGTGAGGGAATTTTGTAAGACAACCAGATCCTACGTTGCTTTAGGATTAGAGTCCAAGTTGATTAAAATTCTCAACATTGCACCATTTTCCTCGAACGTAGGAAGAAATTCTAAGCCAAAGTTGAACCAGGGAAGCAAAACTTTACCGAGAAACATTTATAAATGGATTTTCCCCTAGAAGCTTTTACTATATCCATCGTATTTCAGAAAAAATATTGCTTAGAAAAGGAAGTGAATAAACAATAAAATATTGCTGGTTATTTTTGATTCAGCCGCCTAAGTCCATACTGGATTGATCCCCGAAACTCTTTCCAGTCAAACTGGTTTATGGGCCATGCATGCTATGACAAAAACATGTGATTAGTGGAAGACAAATTGTCATCCACATATACTTGATTAGGGAGATTTTTCAGTAACATTTCTCAACACCCCCCCGTCCCTTAATCAACAGAAAATTCTTGTGGCTTATCTTTTTAATGGTGTCTCAAGTCTTTTCCAGCACAGGTATAGCAGCTTTCTCTCCCCAATTATTTATTGAATGAATGCCACTTTTATTTTGAAAACAAACAAACCCTCAGCACAAGGTATAATTGCATGAAGTTCTCCAGAGGGGAACAGATATTCAGGTAGGATTACAAAAATAAACCTGCTCATTAAACCTGGCCAACTCATCCTATCAGTCATCTGGTTTGAAGTGTTTTAGATGGCTGAATACCGCCCCCCCCCCAAAAAAAGCTACTTTCAATCCATTTTCACACCCCATATAGTCATGTGATCAGGCCTTGGCAACCGGCTTGAATTTACAGCCATTTGCAGGGTCCTGTAGTAATGTGACTGATTTTTTTTGGGGGGGGGGGAGCCTCATTTCCAGTGTTTACTCCCAGTTCCTTCCCCACCCCCCCCAAAAACCCCATTGGATAAAATGGATTCAGTTAACAACTGCAGCATTTTCTGAACCACTGCAAAAAGATAAAAAAATAAAATCAGGGCCTGTTCACATTAATGCCTTGACTTATGACCAGTGGTGGGATTCAAAATTTTTTTACTACAGTTCTATGGGCATGGCTTGGTAGGCGTGGTGGGTGTGGCTTGGTGGGCATGGCAACGGAAAGTTACTGCAAAATCCCCGTTCCCTCCCCATCCCACTAACCTGCTTTCCAGCTCCGTTCTCCTGTGGAGGGCAACCAAAGAAGACCCAGCCTATCGGGTGGGACTCGGGAGGTAGCAAATAGATGGGGCTGGCGGGGCCAGTCAGAGGTAGTATTGGCTGGTTCTTCAAACTACTGAAAATTTCCGCTACCGGTTCTCTAGAACCGGTAAGAACCGGCTGAATACTACCTCTGCTTATGACCATAACTTCAGGCACAATTAATTACGGTCGTAAATTGAGGATTACTTGGAGTAGAATCTGATAATGGGAGGTAGTTAGCTTCCCTTTGCGAAGGATGCTTTCTACCATGGACCACTTCTCTGATCAGCTGATTTCCTAAGCTTTGGATCAAAGCAGCTTACCAATAAACCAGACTGGGGAACAACTTTAGAAAAGGAACGCCAGAGTCAGCGTCCTCTAACCACGATTTGGCAGGTGGATAAAACTGAGCTAAGCTGGACTCTACTTAATTCAAGCTTTCTAATGTGAGAAAAAAGCCAACTACATACAGGGGAGCCATAACAGTCTACACGCATCTTGGAGAAGGAGGTCGGGGGAAAAAAACAACACTGGGAGTCACCCTTTAAAAATATTATATTTTATTGTCTGGTTTTCCCAAGAGCAAGGAGAGCTGCTTCCTCAGAAAAATGTGTAAGTTTTAGAACAGATTTGACGGCCAATTGAGGCAGACCAGAACCTGGTTATTCCTTATTGTATCAGGGTTTTACCCTTGGTAAGACAGATTTTTGTAGCAATTGCAATAAAATAAAAGTTTTTCCTGATGGAAAAAGTTTTTCCTGATGGCAAAAAGAGAGAGAGAGAGAGAGAGAGAAAGAGAGAAAACAAAACGGAAAGGATGCCCTCCTAACTCCCCCACCCCCAAGATAGTGTGGAAATGTTAGTTTCTGGTGCTAGAGGCAGCGGTAACTCTTAAACTACATGATGAAAACAAGAGGGTGAAAGGGGGGGAGGGACAGAAACAGCATCCCCCTCCCATCAATTAACAATATACAATGCTAGAGGAATATATATATTTATATTTAATAATAATAACCATCTCGATTGTTGTTAAATTGCAACCAATTTGCTGCGTCTCTTTTTTTGTTTTGTTTTGTTTTTTTAAAAAAAACAACCCACCAATAATTGAGATTTGCATGGTTCTCTTGCATTTGAATTTGGTCCCCAGAAAAACCTGCACCACGATGAAGAAGAAATTACAAACAGGCCTAAAGAGGGTGAAGCAATGGAATCAAGAGTTATTCAGAGCAAAAGAGAAAAAAGGAGAAGGAAGACTCGGTTTGACGCTGCCCTCCAAAAACCAAAAAACCCCAAAAGGAACAGCTGAGTAGGTCCGGAGGATTTCCCCGACGAAAAGGTTCATCGGCTTCGTCCTGCCCCGTTTTGTGAACCTGACATTTGTGCGGGCCTCCTTCGTTGGTCCCACTGGGCTGACAAAGCCAAAGCTTCCCTCTTTGAATATACTCCTTAAAAATTCCCCCTTCCCAAATACTCCATGGGACAATATTCCCTTTCCCTTTATCTTAGTCACTGCCCCACAATGGGGAGTGGGAGGAAGAGAGAGAAAATGTGCAAAAAAATAAAATAAAAAATTGGGAAACCCAAGGCCACCTTTTTGCAAGCAAATCCTGGCTTGTTTTGCCTCTTGGATCCAAGAAGAGTCAAAAGGGCAGCAGAGAAACAGAGATTGTGTGTGTGTCTGTGTCTGTGTGTCTGTGTTGGACAGTGGGGAGTGTTTGCATTCTCAGCCAGAAGCGCCCTCCACCCAAATAACTTTTGAGATCAGAATCCCAAGGTAGCCCACTTCATCTAAGGCAGAACATTCGAAGCACCTGACACCCAGGAGATGTGGGCTGGGAGGTAGGAGTCATCGTGGGCCTGAGAGCCCCCCTGCCCAGATCCAACAACGGTGTCTCCCTACTGTGTTGAACACAGGCGAAAAAGGGGGACGGGGCAGCTCCCTTTGGCGTTGCTTATATTTAAAAAAAAAAGTGGTTTTAGGATGGCAAAGGAAGGTCTTTGCACGGAAGGACGAGAAAGTGCCTACCCTAAGCGAGGAAAGGGGCAAGGATCCTGTTCCGCATTAAAACATATACACATCCAGAGAAAAGTGGGATGCCCGCTGGATCACCCTACTATCCAGGCCCCAGCACTGTTCAAGCCAAGTTCCTGCCTACCAGCTACATAAATTAAAATCGAAGAATGAGAAACAAAGCAAGGAACGGGACAACAGAGACGTTAAAGAAGCTTTCCCCTACTTTTTGAACAATATATATATATATATATATATATATTGTTCTGTATGTATGTATGTATGTATGTATGTATGTATATATTTGTTTTATTAATATATATATATATACACACACACACACCGCCTCCCCATACCAAGGGATATAAGTTGAACAAGACCCCTCCCCAAACTGTATCTGGACGCTCATTTGCTGGACTTGGCACTCTGGCACCCATGATTCTTCCCGCCCGTCACAGCGACGCAATTATCAAGGGGGGGCGCTACTGAGTCCCTCTGAAGTGGCTGGAAACAAGGGGGTGTCTTGCCAAAGGGGGGGGGAGAGGGGGAAAAAACAAAAAAAGAACCATGGCTGTTGCATAGGTAACCGTGCTCGTAGAAGTCACAATTTAAAAAAAAAAATAGAAAAAGAAAAAAAAAATACGAGAGGAGGCAGCTACTTGTCTTCAGAGAGAAGAAATAGCCCGGGGGGAGAGAGGAAGAGTAGTCCCTGGCGGCTGTGGGTGTGTGCGCGAGTGAGAAGAAGAGGCAGAGAGAGAGGAAAAAGAGAGAGAAAACGAAGATACGGTGTGGAAGGAAACGGAATGGGCCTCCCCTCCTCCCTTCCTAAGAAGTGCCAGCGCTTTGCCGCCACCGCCGCTGCTGCCACCGCGCCCTCACAGGTCACTCTCGCCGTACAGCGCCGTGGAGAAGGATTTGTAGTCGAGAGCCCCAGGAATGGTATCAGGACCCTGGTAAGGTGCCATCCGGGCGATACAGTATTCTGCCTGGTCTGGAGGGAGTTCTCGCCGCAGTTCCTCCGCCGTGATGTAGTTCTGAGCAGGGGAGAGAAGGGGGTGGGTGCTGTGATAGCCATAGCAATAGTCTGCAGGCTTATATATTTATATAATGTATATACTTATATACCACTTCACGGTGCTTTACAGCCTTCTCTAAGCGGTTTATAAAGCCAGCACATTGCCCCCCACAACAATCTGGGTCCTCATTTGATCGGAAGGATGGAAGGCTGAGTCAAACCTCGAGAGGGTCAGGATTGAACTGCTGGCGGAGTGGCAGAGTTAGCCTGCAATACTGCATCTTAACCACTGTGCCGCCACGGCTCATGAGGCCTACCCAACCAGTTGTGGGGAAGTTCAGGAGTGCAGGGGGCAGGGGGAGGGACCCTCCCCCTCCCCAGCTGCCTCTAGATAGCTTCTCCCCGTATCTGGGAATCCCGCACTGCTGCCGAAACAGCCCTGGCCGACTTCTGCAGGCAACGATGTCCTTCGCCTCACCTTGTCTCCAGCCAGAACTTTGAAGGAAGCGATGACCTGATCAGCTGTGTCTGTGTCGGTTGTTTCCCGGGACATGAAATCGATGAAGGCTTGGAAAGTCACCACACCGCTGTTGTTGGGGTCCACAACACTCATGATCCGGTTGAACTCTGCGTCGCCCTGATAAGGGAAGGTCGGGAGAAGAACAAGGCTCAGTTCTTCCTGCAGGATGATAGAGCCCAGGTCCACTTTCGAAGGGTTCTGCGCACACAATTGTGTGCCGAAGGAGGAACTCTAGAAAGTTTGCCCTCGTTGATAGGTTTCTCTCATCTTTGGCAAGGTTAAAAACATGTGGACTTCAACTCCCAGAATTCCCCAGCATGGGCCCCTGCTGGCTGGGGAATTATGGGAGTCGAAGTCCACACCTCTTAAAGTCACCAAGTTTGAAAAATGCAGATCAGTCTGGGCATTAACTCAGTGTTTTCTCCTTCTCGCGTCCTCTCCCACCCAACCGCCCACCCTAGTATGCATGATTTCCCCTCCTCTCCCCAAGGTCACATTCGCCAAAAAAAGGGCAGAGAGAGACGAGCTGGAGCAACAGCAGCAGCGTCAGAGCAGCAAGAAAGCAAAGCGAAAGGCGCAAGCAGAGAGCGTACCAGGCTGTATCCCGTGGAGATAAGGAGGGCTCTGTAGTCGTCTGTATCCATGCTCCCCGTGCGCTTCTATTCCAAGCAGCCAACAGAAAAGGGCGGAAGGGAGGAAGGAAGGACAGACAGGAACGAAGGGAAGAAGAAAAGTGGTGGGCGAGCAGAGATGGATAAAGTATGCCGAGGGCCAACGGTGAAAAGAGCACGGACCCCCACGGGAGGAGGAAAAGACGCAGAGAGAAAAAAGTCAGTCGGGAAGCGTTTGGGATGGGGGTCAGCACAAGGGGGCAGGAGCAGTCAAAGGGGACCAGATACCAGACATCAGCATGATGGTCAGAGGGAAGGGGGAGAGAGAGAGAGAGAGAGAGAACGCAGTGAAGGAAGAGAGAAAGGAAATCGGTTAATTGCAATCTCGTCACTGGCGGGACGGCGCGATTCACGGGCAACGGGTACCTGTCGGTCATTCTCCACATCGTATCCCAAGCTGATGAGACAGGCCTTGAACTCTTCGGGTCCCAGGGAGCCGCCGTGGTCCTACCGCCAAGCCGCGGGTAGGAAGGGGTGCAGGGCACGGCACGCCCGTCGAGGAAAGGCAGGGGGTGGCAGGGAGGCCCCCCATGAAGGCGAGGAAGGCGGAGCAAAGGGGAAAAGACACGCCGTTAGTTCAAGGCTGGCTGTTGAGGTGTGTGTGTGAGATCCAAACCAGCTTAGGACTCTTAGCCCAGATAGGAAGGTGGGGTGGGGGGGCTGTAGGACATAAGCCTCCAACTTTGGCAAGACTTGTACGAGGAAAGGAGGTGGAACAGGGAGAAGAGAAGGGAAAGCGGCCTCCTCCTTCTCTTGCACCAACCACTCAGTTTCCCATTTCTTCATTGCAGCTCAGCACCCAGGATCCACTTTGAGAGCGGTGTGTGGGGTGTGTGTGTGTGTGTATAATTTAACAACCAGTTCACTTCAACCAGTGTGAACTGGCTGAATCCCACCACTGGTTAAAGGCATAAAGTTAAATTCATGATATGTTTGTTTATAGCAGTTTTTGTCTAGTTTGGGAACCTAAAAGGCGGGTGGACTTCAACTCCCAGCATTCCCCAGCCAGCATGTGCTGTTGGGGAATCCTGGGAGTTGAAGTCCACTCGTCTTCAAGTACCTGAGCTTGAGAACCACAAAGGCCCCTTCAGAGGGAAAGCTTTGTTGAGGGCTCTATCCCCTCAGGGCTTTGCTGGCTGAGGAACGCTGGGAGTTGAAGTCCAAAGTCTTAAACTTGCCAAGGTTGGAGACCCCCTGCTGTACCAAGTCTCCCCACAGCTGGAAGAAGTAAACTTTGCCAACAGGGGCTCCAACGCCCTGGAACTGCACGGCCACAATCTGTGCCTGGGCAACACAATCTGCACCCCAGTGCTTGGGCTGCGGGGGGGCTGTATCAAGTTCCCCCTGAGCTCTTTTTAGGCGACAGGCCAAGGCAAGAGCGTTATGGGATGGCCTTGGCATCGCTTGACCCAAAAGGATCCTTGTTATGGAGTCCAGGGGAAGGATGGTCAGTAGCAGGTTTCGTATATCTTGGTGGGGCAGCCCGAGAGCCTGTTTTGTTTCAAACCAGCGAGGTGGACGGAGGCTGCTGGGGGGAGGGGGTCTTAAAACTTGGGCTAAACCCCCCCACCCAATTATAATCCTGATCCAGAAGAATTGGATGGTCCTGACTGTGTCAGGTTGGGCTTCCCTTTTTTTAAAGACGGGATCTACGCGGCCGGAACTTAAGATAGTAACTAGCAGTATCTAGGAGTAAAAACAAACCAACGCATCTCGGCAATATCCTTGAGAGGTAGACTAAATCATACAATCACAGGGCTAGAGAGGACTTTGAAGGTCTTCTAGTCCAACCCGCCCCGCTCCAGCCAGGAGCCTTATACCATCCCAGTCAAATGGCTGCCCAATCTATTTTTGAAAACCTCCAGTTAAGATGCCCAACTTAAAACACCACCAAGTTGGCGGCAACCCTTTTGTGCAACAAAGTCGCACAGTGTCATAAGATTGGAACTGGCTTAGGGACTTCTGTCCTCGCTGTGAGTTGTGTTGGGGTGTGTGTGTGTGTGTGTGTGTGTGCGCACAAAGGGAGGCTCAGCCAATCACATTGTACACAGGTTGTACTTTGACGATAAAGGTAATAATAATAATAAAAAAATCAGACTCTATATAAGAAACGCTGCACAACAGCCCAGCTTCCCTTTGGAGAGCGAGAGACTTACAAAGGGACGGGAAGGCCGTGTGGGTAACATGCGCACCTGTAAATGGGCTACACGAGAGAGGTTCCCTCCCTACACCCGGCTCTCTCGCTTCTCCTACTCGGGTACCTTGTCAAAATGATTGAAGGAGGCCCGGAATTCTTGCATCTGCTCCTGGCTGATTCCTTTGGCGTCCCGGGTCAGGATTTGATTCTCCACCTCGTTGATGGTCCGGGCAATGGTGGTGAGGAGCTGTTCCCATCCAACCCGGATGTGCTGGATGTAAAAACGGAAGGAAGACGGGGGACGGAAACAAACAAACAAACAAACAAACAGAATGAATTAATCCCTTTGTCCTCACTTGCCCTTCCCTCAACAGGGGCTCAACCAGCCCAGGCAGCAGCCTGAAGTTCCTTATGCCGGACTTTCTTTTTAAGTCGCTCTACATTTTTCTCCTGCACGTCTGTCTGAATGAAAAGTTATTTTGAGCAAAGCATCTGCTTGTTTAACAGACGCACACATGCTAAAGTGGCGAGGAGGGAAAACAACACCCGAGCACGTTTCAAACAAGGATGTCAAAGTTGCATCTACCCAGCTGGTGAGAACACCAGGAGGAGGAGGCCTGCTGAGAGCACGTTCGGATGCGCGTACATACACAACATCCTCCTGGTGCGTATTCAGCTGTGTGTTAAAAGTGCAGCCCGGCTCCAGCCTTAGTCTGGACAATGTACAGGATAAAAGCTGTTGTGAGGACCTGGACTCTCACTGGAAGTTCCTCCTCTTACCGACCTTCACCAAGATGGACCCATCCACCTTCCCCATAGATGACATCCCGCACACGCTTGGCTGTGTCCTCACCTCCATGGTGTAGTTGGTGTGCTTGTTGTCGAAGATCAGGGCCTCCTGGATAAGTTGGTGCTGCTGCTCCAAGACGTCGATGTTGGGTTTGTATTCGACAATGTTCAGCTCATATTGCTTGAGGTGGTTGAGTTGGTCCTCCAGGGTGCCGTTCATCTCAATGGAGATGCGCCCAATCTCCTGGTCAAGGGAAGGCCAATGGGATTGGGTTGACACATCACTTGGAAGGCTCATGTAAAAAGAGAGACCCACGGGCCCTGCCGTCGTAACCACCGGTGCCCTTCGTTGGGTTGGCAATCCAGTTGTCAGGATTCCGGCAGTTTCCCTAATTAAATCATGAGCTTCGAGCCAAGCTTCAAAAACTACGAAGAATTTGTGAGGAGCGAACATGTCGGCATGATCTGTAATGAAGCCAATTCTGAGACACGTAGTTCATTGTCACCCTTGACCCTGTTTTCCCCCCCACCCCTTTGGGGTGCATCATAATTCATATTCTCCAACAAACACGTTCACAGCTGAAAGTCATCAATCACATTCTCCAATTAAGAGATTTTCGAGGCAGAAATACGGGTAGCTTTGATACAATCTTTGCAAGGTAAGAATGGAATGCACTTTCGGTTTTAAACTGCCGCACTGCTCCTTCAAATCCCCCCCCCATTCATGGCAACTCCAAAATAGGCATAGAAACACGGGTGTCAACTCATAAAACATTTTGTACACATGTTTTATAGTTGACAACAGAAAGAAAGGGGGCGGGGTTTCCAAAGAGCCGGCAGCAGTGTGGAATCGAAAGTACATTCCATTCATATTTTCTTCAAAGACTGATTCGATGACTGAAGCTTCTGCCGCGCAAAAATCTAATTGGAGATTGACGACTCCAGGCTATGGACGTTTTTGGGTGAGGGGGGAAAAGCAGGATCAAGGGTGACAGCGAGTTACGTAGTATCTCAGAGTTGGCTACGCCCAGATAAATGCCAGACGTAGAACGATAACTTCAAATAAATCTTTTTTTTAGTTTTGGGAGTGTGGCTCGAGGTTCATGATTCAATCGGAGCAACTGCCGGAAATCCTGACAACTGGCTTCTCTTGCCAGAAGAAGCTCGGATTCCCGGGCAAAGCTTCTCACCTCCATCTTGGTCTGGATCCAAGGCCCCACGATGTTGGCTTGGCTGGCGAACTGTCGGCGCAAGCGTTCATTGGACTGCTGCTTGCTCTGCTCATCCTGAAGGGCGCTGTCCCTCTTGGGTACCAGTTGCTGGACCTGTTGGACGCAAAGGAAGAGAGTCATCGCTGAAGGCGACGTTCCTGAGCTTCCCCCACCCCAGCCCCGGGCTCAGAGAGACCTCGGGTTGCAACCCAAGGCGGGCAGGCTCTGCCTTCAGCTCCGCCCACTGAGCATGCACACCGGAGCACCCACCCTTTCCCACTTGGAGTTGATGATCTGAGGTGTGACCGACGTGTAAGGATTGTTCCCGGAGAGTTTTATGTTGTTGTAGTCTGCGATCTTCTGCGCTTCGCTTTGGATGCCCAGGATGGCTTCTCTTTCTCGGTCAGCATCAGGCAATGTGGATTTGAACTGATCGTGGGCAGCAATCAAGCCCTGGAAAAGAACCAGATCGTTTCAGCACAGCCTCACACCCAGAAAGACACGAACAGCGTCCCCGGGTTCAATCCCTGCTGGGTGGGAATCCAGATGTCTCCCAGATTTCTTCCATTTGCAGCGGGACAGAGCGCGAGGGGAAATATGAATTCCATCTGGGAATCCTGGTGGGATATTTTTTTCCCCTCCCAGAAATTCTGGGATGGGACGGAAGCCAGCTAGAAAAATGTCCATCTGGAGCTAGAGTTCGCACTCGTAAGTCGCCGAAGGTTCTCTTTTGTTAAAAACTATAAAAAGTCTGGCCCCTCATTGAAGGACTTCACTTTCTACTTGGCATTTTTCTAGTTCTGTAATCTTTTTAATTTTCAAGAACCTGATGCTCCTATACTTAAAGGGGCCTTTACGTTTTTATATCCGGTATACGTATTTATTTAAAAAAAAAACCCAGCCTTCCTCCAGCCCCCTTGTAGCCACGTAGCACAGTAAGAGTGTAACACAAACTAACTGATCTTAACACATCATTTTCAACCTTTGCACGTTCTCCTTCAAAACTAGGCCCCAAGGGGGAAAATCAAAGAAGATTTTTAATTTTAAGAAACTAGGCTGGGGATTCATTGCGTCACGCCTGCCATTTACTTGCTTCGCACTGCATCTTGCCAGCCTGACATTTGCAACGGCGGGAGGGGGAGGGGATGGCCAGGGGGGGGTGGGGGGGGGGGGGGATTGAAGCAGACCATGAGGATCACAGGTGGGATCCAGCTGGTTCTCACCAGTTCGCCCGAACCGTTAATTGTTGATGCAGTTCAGAGAACCGGCTAAAAATAAAGCGCAAGAGAGGTGTTTTCCTCACCCCCTTTCTCTCCCTTCAGTTAATAGCTCTGGGCAGACATCCAAGAACCTCTTAACAGTTGCAGCAGGAATGCAGCCAACACAGGCTGAATCAATCGAGGATCACCAATCAGGTCAACAAAAGGAAAGGCGAAAACACAGGGTCTGTTTCTAAACCTACCTAAGAAACTTTTAATTGGACACTGACCGATAACAAACGGGATGGCCAGGGGGGAAATGGGAAAGTTAATTGCATCGTTTTCCCGGCAAGGCAATGGATTCTCCCTTCTCTAATCTGTAACCGCCTGGTTCTCAGCGAAGTATTCTAATACTCTTGGGAAAAAGAAATGAGCCAGGAGTCTTTCTTCGCTAATTAAAACTAAGTGGGATGGATGACACAATTGGATCAGACAGCAGACATGTTGGCTAATCTCCCTTAAGCCCCACTTATCTCCCTCCCTCTCTCTCAGCTGAAGCCCAGGTAGATATTTCCAGATTCTTCTACCATAGAGAGGCTAGGAAAACTCGGTGGACAGCCTGGTACCTCTATCTCCTCTATGGTATGGACAATGAACATGTCCTGGAGGTCCTCCATTGCGCTTTCCATCCAGTTATTGAAGGGCGCCGCTCGCTTGGCGTATTCCAGGTGCAGCTGGTCGATGGTCTCCAACTGCTTCTCTGTTTTCTTAGGAAAGAGAAACAGGCAAAAAAAAAAAAAAAAAGGATTAGGTCTCCTGACACCGCGCTCACTCGCTCTCGCCTCCTCCCGCGGCAGGGCCGCCTTCTTCTCACCTCCAGCGCTTCCCTTCGTGTGTGGGTCAAGGACCCCAGGGAGTCCCACTGGTCGCAGATCTTTTGGCACCGGGCGTTGACACTGGGAGAGTCGTAATAATCCAGCTCGCTGTGGGGCAGAGAAAAGGGAGGACGTTGATAGGCGGGGCAGGTAACCAGGAAACAGTTCTCTTGTGGGACCCTAATCGCCTCTCTACAGGGTCACCGGTTGTGGCCTGTCGGCCGCCGGGCCCTCCAGCGGCCGAATCAGAGGAGGAGCAGGAGGCGCAGGAAGTCAGGGTCAGCATCATGGCAACCTGAGAGCTCCAAGAGGGAATACAGCTGTCAGAGAGGGAGACAGCGGCGGAGCTTGGACCGCCCGTCAGCCCTCAGATGAAGAGTCAACAGCCCCCAGGTCTGGAGGTGGCTGAAGAAGAGGAGGAACAGTTGGGTCCAGTGCCCGACGCGCAGATACACAGAAGGCAGAGGAGAGGAGGGCAGTGGAAATCTATGGATGGGTCCTTTGGGCCAGAAGAGCCACCACTGCTAGAGAAACCCCACATACATATGGGATGGATGGATGGATGGGCGGACAGATGGATGAATGATAGAGATGATAGAAAGGTTGATAGATACATTGCCTGCCTGCCTGCCTGCCTCCCTCTCTCTCTCTCTCCGATGTGTATGTGTACGTTATATATGGGTATGGGTAGGTATATACTTCCTTTTGAGAGCAGGCAACCAAATTTCATTTTTTAACATGGGCCAGCGTGGTGCTTACAGTAAAAAGCGACAGCAAAGGTTATCTTATCAATGACTTTCTTAACCGCCGCCTTAAACGGGGTCCTAAAACCCCCTAACCTGACCCATTTGACAACCGCAATGGCTCCATTACGGCCGTTAAGTGGAGGACTACCTGGAAATAAAGGCACCTGGACATGTCTGGCTGTCTACGGCCTTCTCCGAGGTTTGCAGTTCCCGGGTTTGGCCGCAGGAGGTCGCTCCAAGGCCGTCTGGGCCCCTTGGAATGCGGTGCCCGGGGGAGGCGAGCCAGCCGCTCAAACATGGCATGTTGCTTTAAGGACTGGCCAAACCAAACAGCTGGGGAAGAATTTGGAGTGTGTGTGTGTGAGAGAGAGAGAGAGAGAGAGACCCAGGGAACATGAGAACTTAAGAAAAGGGGGACCTGGCTGGAAACAAAGCCTCTGCCCACCCACCCCCAGAACAGCGACCAGCCTCCGTTTCTCCGATGCCAGATAAAGAATTGAGGATTTCTCTCGCCCCCCCCTCCCGTTTTCAAAACGCTGGCAAGCAGCATCCTGGGATGAGCGTGCTTGTAAAGTGTGTTTGTGTAAAGAGGCAGAAGGTTGCGGTGTGAAGTCATGCTGCAGGCCACACACGTCAAGTTTTCCAAATCCTTGGCCCCTCTCGGCCCCCCCCAAATTAGGGAAACAACACCCCCCCACACACAAAATCCAAGGCAGGCTCAGCCTGTGGCCTGCGTGTATACTTGTGGCGTGTGAGTTTATCCGTGTGTGTGTGTGTGTGTGTGTGCAGGAGTAAGCGGAGGGGGGGGTGAGAAGGAGTTTGCTCTAAACTCTTACAAGGACCGCATTCGGGTGACACATTGAGGGAGGGCTGGAGAACAATGGGGGTACTGTGTAATAAGGGTAAGGGGAGGGTGGGGTGGGGGGTAGAAAACACCCTTGGAGGAGATTCGATTGCCAGAAAGAGGGGTGATCCTAGCTGACTGCAGGGGGGGCTGGGGGGGGGGGGGGCAAGGAGGCGGGTTGGAAAGGGGTGTTAAGAAGGGGGATGGGTGTGGGGGGGGGGGGGGGGAGACTGCAAAGGAAGGGGGGGGGAGGGCTGCTATTTTGAACTTGCCAAAAATACCTTACAACGTCTCTTTGTGTCTTGCTGCAAGCCAGTCCAAATCACACACACAGAGACACACACACAGAGACACACACGCAGAGAGAGAGAGAGAGGCTGGCAGGGAAGCCTTTTAAAAGGCTCGGAGGTTGCCAAGGCTGTTTTGTTTTTGTTTTTTAAACAGGATGCAGGGGAATTTTACAGCTTCGAGTGCTCCGGAACAAGGGATTTTTACAGCCCGGTTTAGAGGCCTGGTTCAGGAGGAATCAGAAGGAGTTTGTGGAGGAGGAGGAGGAGGAGGAAGAGGAGGAGGAGGGTGGAGGAGGAGGAGGACTGGTGCTCTCTGAGCGTGATTGTTTTCTTGCAGACATTTCATTACCAAACTAGGTAACATCAT